CAAAGGGTTTCTCATTCAGCGGTGACTGCCTCGCACTTTTATTAAGTCCGGGCTTTTTCACTCGGAGGAATCATCTGTTTGGTTATTTTTCATCATGTTTATTTTTCACCATTCACACAGTACTTGTATTAAATAAACAAAGAACAATCGCTCTGCAAATAAAAGTACTTAGGTGGGGAGAGMAGGAAGAGGAACTGGGGCTCTGGCGCCCCTGCCCCTCTCCCCCCACCCTCTGACATCACCCGCCCCCCACCCCCACTCGGTTTTCTCTCCTCTCTCCATTCTTTCCCTCTCCTTTCTCCCAAGCTAGGAGGTTCTAGGAGGGATTCCACCAAAGAGCGAATAGATATAAGTATGTGCATGTGCGTGTGTATGTATTTCTGATGAGATGAAAATTGACTGGACTAACTTGGCATGAAAGTAAAGGTCACTGCAACTGTATCTTAATAGAGTGTCTCGAATCGCCGTGGACCGACTGCCAGCGACTCCCCTGGCCCTGCCCATTGCCATAGCAATCCTGATGCTCTGCGCCCATGGACCATAAAAGCAGTAGTTTGAATTTCAAAGAACATGCCTTTGAGCTTCTCCCCGCCTGATTAGGCACTTGCTGTTGTATGCGAATGTGTGCTCGGGAGTGTTTGTGCGTGGCCGTGGGTGGATGTGGGCATTTCTGAGAGTTTTGTTCACGGAGGAAATGTGCTGGTAACAACGGGAGCTTTCCRCTATGGGTCTCCTTCACCGTGCTTCCCGACCTGGAAGGCTTCCATGGTCATGGGTCAGGTGTTTTGGTACACGATGGGTGGATGGGCAAGCCCCTAGTACCGCCATGGGGTGACAGGATGGAAATATTAATAAGCGGGATTGTTTTGTTTACCTTGTGATCTGCCTTCCTTTCCTGATGTAAGGTGATCCTTTGGGAGATCAGATTGTCTCCCCAGCAGTTGTACTTCCTAACCAAACTGGGATTTTCAAGTATTGATGTCCAGTATCTCTCCTACTTCAAGTCTAGATAGAGATGATAGGAAAAAAACCACAGTGGTCTCCAAAAGCTTCCACAAAATGAAAGATATCAGGACAAATATGATGTCTGCAGACAGCTGGGCTCAGCTTTTGAGGAGAGTGGGCCTCTTTTCCTCCAGTCCCCAATRTGACCACACTTGTATGGCCATCTACTGCTCAAGAGTATAGAATTTCCACCCTTGAGGTCTTCCTAAGTACCTTAGATTTTAGGAGCATTAGCTTTCTGCAAGAACATCTGAATGGGGGGAAATATGTACACAAGCAACAAATAATCATGTGATTGAAGATTCTTCTAACCAGCAAAACAGTGTTTGCGGGAGCCACATCTTGCCTAGGGAAGATGAAGTCTTTGATGATAGCCAACTTAGTGTCAATAAGTGGCTTTCTTTGAGACATATTCAGATGGGAACGTCTTGCTTGCCAATTGCCATAGAAATCTTAACACACCATGAAGATTGTCCAAGCGCCAAGCCTTCCGTTCTGGACTAAATTACTTTGAAGTGGCGCAGGACGAGCAGTGGTCAATTTTAACTCTATAGACTGGACAGAGAACGCTGGGAGTGGGAGATTGTGCGTTTTAAAGCAGAAAATAAGAAGGGGAAACTTGTTTTATACACTCTATACAAGGTTCTGCTCATTGTCAGATATCTTTTATCTTTTATATTTCCCATGAATGATTCATGTCTTGGTGGCTTTGTGTCACCCTTCTTTTCACAAGAAACTTCATTAGAGAGCTATAAGTTTTCCCATTGATAGGAGCCCTCATTTACCAGTGTTTTTCTCCTTCGTGTGCTGGTTATTGTCATCTGGCTTAAACAGCTCTTGGCAACCTGTTTCACCTTTACTACATTTAACAAACCTGACTTTTAAAAGCCACTATAACCTTTTGGAGAAATGCTTATTGACATTACTGATTGTTTTTAACTACTTGCCTTTTATCAGTTTTGTATCAGCTAGCATAATAACAAAACTCCAGGCTTGTTAAGGTACATAGGCAAATACATTAATTTAAGCTACTTGAATATTTTGTTGCCATGAGAAAATCCAATTTCTCCTTAACACCTGCCCCCAATGCTGAGCGTAAGTTACTCCATTTCCAAAATGAATGACAATAAAGTCCTATTTTGAGGCCCCCATGACCTATGAGAGAACTCCTTAGCCACTACTCAGATTCATCCCACATCCATAGCATCTCCTAGACTGTCTTACTTTATCTTCCTTTGTGTGTGGAAGCTTCTCACTGTCCTTCCCTCTTTTTCATTAGGTTTCCCCCTTTAGAAGGTAGGCACCAAAGAAATGCTAAAATGCACTTTTCAGCTTTTCACTGAGTTGAATCACCGTGTATATTACTAACTTTAACAAATTAATGCAGTAACCCCTGAGGTGTGTGTGCAACTGAAGGTACAACCTGCAGGGATTAGTTTCCATAAATATCTGGTATTTTCTAAATTAAACTGTAAGTTAAACCAAGCTGTAAAAACATATTTGGGGGTGAGGGAGGCTAAGAGATCAAAGGAGGAAAACTATAATGTTCACTATCTCAGCAACTGTTCTGTTTGAAAATGACAGAGATATGCCATTAGGTAAAATGTAGCAATACATAGGAAGAATACCTTTATTACATTTCTTACTTCATAGTCATTCTTGCTTTCTTTCTATTGGAGGTACACATTTTAAGCTTTTATTTTAGGTGTATCAGGAACCAATAAATCTGTGGCAGAGTTAACCTATGCATGGCAAAATACATAAAATACATATTCCTTTGTTTCATAATAAATAAACCTGTAGCATAATAAAGAATAGTGCAAACTACCATTGAAAAAGTTGTATAAATAAAACAACTCATTATACATCAGGAATATTTTGTCCTAATAATTTTACAATACATAAATTATCCCCCCAAAATCCATACCTTATTTTTCTATTTGAAAGGACTTTGAAAGTGGTTAATATGAAAATCAAATAAACTTTTAAAATGTAGAATTATTTTATATTCAAGTTTTATGGTCTTTTTCTTTATAAAGGAGGGTCTGCATGATTCATAATTACTGTAACAATCTGAGGACAACATTGAAAGGCTTTCCAAGTGACAGCACCATGCACTGTACTAGTAATATATCTATAAACTATATATAATCTCATCAACACAATGCAAAAAAGACATGCAGGAAGAGTCTTGGTTTTCACATTACGTTGTTCATTCAAGTAAGCTCAAAAATATATTTTTCCATTTCCTTTCCTTTTTTTTAAATAAACCATGAATCATAAATGATAATCTTTCACCAAAATGTATAATATAATTCTTTGGTGTGCTTTGAACTCTTCCRGGGAGTGGGAGGGAAGGGGGGAAACAATGTCTGAAAATAAATTAATTCAACTGTACAAATAAAAGTGTTCACATACAAGTTATTAACAATGACAAGACTACATCAACCACTCACAGCACACAAATTTCTACAAACCCTGGGGAGGGGGTGTCTTCAGGGTCTCTGAGGATAAATTAGTGCTCTTTAGTATATTTGTATGATGTTTCTGATGGACTACATTTTGCACAGGAGATGTGTTGTACCAACCGAAAATAAATTGACTAAGAGTTATTGTCCTAGGTCCTTGACCTTTTTTATCCTAGCTTGACAGCTCTGGCAAAGGTCACACATTCATCAATGTTTGGTAGTAACTATAAACCTTTTAAAAATTTTAATATGTATAGCAACTCCCTCCCCTCTTTCAATGTAAGTCATGTATTTCACATTATCATTTTCAAGAAGAGAGTTTGGGTGCTCAGTACTCAGGTGGAATAAAATGCACTCAAATGCATTTAGGCAGTAAAAAATAGAGACTTTTTTTTTTTTTAAGGTTGACACAATAGTATAAAAGAGGAGTTGGCCCGTTTCAAAAACAACAGCTTTCAAAAAAAAAAAAAAAAAAGGCATCACACCTCCTCAGACTTGACTGTCAGTGTTGGCATCCCAAAGAATTTATGCTCAAAAACAATCTCTCTATTACACAAGAAGTTTGGACACAGTAAGAAGGCAGCATCTGAGATTTCAGATTTTAAAAAAACAAAACAAAACAAAAACAAAAGAAAAAAAAAACTCCAGAGAGGAAAAAGAAAGCACTTGAATTTCTTCTATTTTATAAAAGATCACAGTTTCACAGTTGTCTCTTGCAGCAGCTTTTCTTCTCTCCACTTTTGCTTGAACAATCACAGTAGCACAATACATGGAGATAGATTAAGGTTGCTGCACTTTTTTTTTTTTTTAAATCACACAAGGAAGGGTTCTGAAGAAATAATCCTGTATAAAAATATCATGTTAAGATGAGATCAGTAATAAAAGCATGAAAATTAAAAATTATAAATATTAGAACTTAAAGGGCTTTTACAAATACTTTTGGACACAGGCACAGTCCAAGATCTGTTGGCGATGCAGCAAGTGTGTGGTTTACAATCAAGAGGCCTTTGCAGAATTAGGGCTTGACAAGGAGGCTCAAAAGCAGCCTACGTTACGGTGTCAAAGGCATTCAAGAGGCACTCCGGGAAACGCAGAGGGCCTGGTTGCTGTGTGAAGTTCTGACTTAATGCTCATCTTCTCCCCCCTTTAAATATATACACATACATGCATATATGTGTGTGATATATATACACACGTATGCACACACATATATATGTATCGGCAGTGTGTATCTCGGTTAATGTCTCCATTCATTTTCCTTGGTACAATTCGCCCTCAGCCCTGTCTCCCTGCAATGTACAAGTCCAGCTTGGTTGTTTTTTGTTTGCTTTTTTAAGAAGAAAGAAAAAAAAAGCCCAAATATCTTAATTAAATTAATTAAATGTACAAACACCATAGGGTTTCATACTGAATAAATAGGGCTAATTAGACCAGTAGCAAGTCTGAGTCACACGTTTGTCTCAGGCTCGGCATTGTCTCAGGTTAGGATATGGTCCAAGGACTCCCACTTATTAATAATGATAAATTCTAATGTATCGTCCGCACAACTTCAGGGTTCCCATACATTTCCTCATCTTCAGACTCAGAGGTGGTTCCGTTGCTGGAAGGTGTGTGGAGGTGGCTGGGGGCCCCACTGGCCTGGCAAACATACCACTCATTGAGGTTGGTCACCTGAGGGGACAGAGTGCTAGAGCGACTCCTGGCTGGGTCCAGCACAGGGGACAAGGGGGCACCCACCGGAGTCCCCACTGATGAGTAACCAAGGGCTCCTGGAGAAGGTGGGGGGGACTTGCAGTGAATCTTCATGTGCTTCCTCAGAGAACTCGGGTGAGTGTAGGATTTGTCACAGCCTCGGATCTTGCAGTAGTAGGGCTTGTCACTGGTATGGACATGGGAATGTTTCTTTCGATCACTGCTATTGGCAAACTTCCTATCACAACCATCGAATTCACATTTGAAAGGCTTTTCCCCTGCAAGGAAACACAGGAAAGGTTAACAATGGCTTTCCAGAGACTAGCTTGAAAGAAATCTTGGAGCAGAACTGGGGATGGAGTTTCCCATTCTCCTAAAGACCAACACCCAGCCTTATTTCTATTCCTAATTCCTATATTCCAAGATGCAAAGGAGAAGAGATGCTGCAAGGACTGGCCTGGGCCCACTTGCCTGGAGGTTCTGCTTGGATCTGGATTTTGAGAGGCCAGATGCCAGCCCCCTAGGTACTACAGGGGTCAGGGTGAAATGCCCATGGTTGAAGCAAGGCCCAGAATGTACCACTGAAGCCCACCTGGGCCCTCATAACAACCTCATTCATCTCAGGGTCGGGACACTCAAATATACAAGTAGAAAATCCTCTATCAAGATAAACACTGATAAAAAGATATTCTCAGAGTCACGGGTGGAGGTGAGAACAAGAAAAATGGAAGAAAGATAAACATATAACATTAAAAGTAAGCTGGGGATACAATAAAATGATGATAATGGCACTTTGTTCCAGAGTGTTCCCAGAATTTCATTGCTGTGAAGGAGCAGCAGGAGAGGATGTGGAGTTAGGAAAGGAAAGGAAATAATCCAACATTCTCCCTTTAGAAATAAAGGCACCTGTGAAACACAATCCCACCACCAGCTTTTGCAGGGCTGGCTGGGCAGAGAATAAGCTGCTGGTCTCCGCATTCTGCCAGCTTCCCCCACAACTTGCAGGGTGCTGGACAGTGTGGCAGAACAGAATCTGATCACATGTGGGCAAAGACCACAGCCTCGGCACACAATCTGTCATTTACCTTAGGCCTTTAGTACACTTATTCTAACAGCTTTCTCCATCACTTATTCATTAAAACCACTTAAAAAAAAATCAAGGTCTTTGGCCTGTCACCCCTAAGCTGACCATACCAGGCACACTATGACTTAAACACAAGGCCACTAGTCCAAAAAGCAGAGATGCTTAATAACACAACCAGAAAAATTTAACCACTGCTCCTGGGGGTTGAAAAACAAAAGGGAAGACGTCACTGACAACATAGCTGGGCTCTCTCTCTCACCTTAGTATCTATGAACTTATAAATTTGAATCCATAATTGAACAAGTCATCACATATTCTTTTATAATATTTTCCTTTGACATTCAGATGATCTAAAAAGATCACCAGCTACTTTGGTGACATACGAGGTAGGGCATCTTTCTTTATTTTGGATAACTTATTTTTAAAAAGAAAAACCATTAAGAATCGGTTTAATGCACATACATTTCTGTGGTGAATCTTATTCCCTCCACACAAATATGTGTTTGTTGTTTTAAAAAATATTTCACTAATGGCCACTGCTTCAATGCCAGAATATGTTAACACATCTGAAAATATCCAGAAGACTGAAATATAACTTTCCCTACCTATCCTTGTTTAAAAATGAAATTAGACATTATTGGAATACAACTCTTAACCTATAAATAGCAGGAAAACAGAGAACTCACAAAAATAATCACAACCTTTAAAAATTCTTTGGAGATGAGCCACAGCAAAAACAAAGCTAATTCCTTTCTACCAAAACATCAGTGCCTTGTCCTGATTTTTGTATTACATTTTAAGTTGGAGATAATACTAATTTAAAATAGCAGTCTTTTTTTTTTTTTTTTTTTTTTTTTTACAAAACAAACAAAATAAGATAATCAACCTTCTTCAATAGGGAGGCTTATGGGGTTTTATTCATTCTATGCACATGTCAATGTTGTTTAGAATTCTTAGGTTTCTGCCCAACTTACATAACCCGGATTGTGAAAAGTAAAGCTTTGAACATTGCTAGTCCCTCCACTACTCACAAGAAAGAGAAGCAGTAAAAGTCAGTAAAGGGAGAGAGGAAGTGGAAAGAAAGTTGGAAATTAGGGATAAAGGAAAGGTGGAGGRACAAAGCAGAAGAAAAAGGAAATGTATTAGAAGGGCCTGGTGTTGTTCAGGGGGCCCACAGGAGCTCTGAGTAAATTCCCCCTAAATAGAAAGACTGAGAGACCTCAGTGTTTACATTCCAGATTCTGACAGAGGCGTCACATCAGAATTTAACTATTTACAGAGTTTTGGAGATTTGGTGCCTGTGGGATGGTAACCAAAAGGAAATCGAGTTGTGAATATCACTCAGGGCTTGTCAGCTTCCTCTAGGATTGGGCTGGGAGGCAGATCATAAACCCAATTGAAGGCTAACAGGTCGGGACAGAAGACTTCAGGAGTGACCTGGGGATTAGTCCGTTTGACCAATCTGTTCTGGGGTCCTGATAACCCCTCAATAGGAGAGAAGTCTATACTAGGGAGAGAAAGAAGTCCACAACTGCCGGACGGGACACACAACTGTCCCTCTCTGGACACAATGTCCAATGGCTGAGGACCCAAGGACAGCCAAAACACCAGGCCAGGCGCGGGTTTGAGTTGGACTGGGAGTCGCCAGCATCCCAGGTTGGGGTGTGTGTGGAATCCCTGCATGCTTTTCCTGGTGGGGTTCACGCTAGCAGCAGGAGTGGGGAGCAGGAAATTCTATCATTCTCACAACTTGGAACCAGAAAACCAGCCACCGGTCCCCTGCCCCCCACCCCCCACTCTCTCATGGAGCAAAATCTGTTCAGTGTTGTGGGGACCCGGCAGAGGGGCAGGGAAGGAAGGTCCACTCCCCTCCAGAGGCCAGGGAAGGAGAGGGGCGGAGGCCACATGCGCCTCATTTAGGGCCTCCTTTTGGGAACTCTGTTAGGGCGGGGACTTCCCAGTGCTGGGCACCGAGCAAGCAGATGGCTTAGTGGGCCATGGCGTTTTTATAAGAGCCTCGTGGGAAGTTCCCTTTTGGAAAAGCCATTAAGGTGGATTGATCTGGATTAGAAAAACACAAGGCTCAAGGGACAACGTGCTCCCTGCCGGTCTTCTGCAGGTCCACATGGGAGGCCTGTGAGGTGTCAGTCCATAGGAGCAAGGCCTGGAGCGCCAGCCTGGGGCCACCTGGACGCGGCTGCTCCTGGACACATAGAATAAGCTGTACACACCCCTAACACCCGCGGACTGCCGCTGGCCGGGTCGCGGCCCACGCCCCCGGGCTGCCTCCTCGTCGCCGCCACCACCGCACCGATAAATCAGCCAAGTGATCACTGAATGTAAACTCCAGTTACTTAAGTGTCCTCCGAGGGGTAATATTGTCTGTCCCTATAAATCCCGGCTATGCTCGCGCTCAGCAGCTCTACCGCCCGAGGAACTCCTTGGTTCAAAGAGGGCACACGACACTAAGGGGCTAAACCGCCGCCCCATGCTGCAGCCACCCTCACCGGGCCAAGGCAGCCCCAAAGGCAGAGCTTGGAGTAGGGTGGGAGGGTCCCCACGGCGCTGGGGACTCCGCACTCCCATGTTCCACGGCGGGTTAGGCCTCATCTTCCTCCAACTAGAACCTTCCTTAAAAGGACAAAAACCAATTCTCCAGCATCCAGCACACTCGAGGGTGCGTGGGAAGTCTATGTGTGTGATCGCTGTGTGACAGCGCGTGTGTGACTGCGGGTGTGTAAATGAAGTGAGGGCGCATATGAAGTACGAGGGCGTGTGGGTGTCGCAGAAATGGGGTGCAGGAGGCGGGCAGGAGTGTGTGTGAACTGGTCTCGGACCATGTATGTGGAGGTGTTAGGAGTGGGGTGTGACTGAGCGGAGGTCTCGGGGGCCAGAGGGCGGGCTCCTCTTGACATCCGCACCCATCCCGGGAGGCACTAGACCCCCGCCCTCCGACGGGCCACAACTCGCGGCCCCAACACCGTAGCAGATCCCACGCGCCCTTCCCACCCCCCCGCTTTCCGTGGTGCAGCTACCGCGCAGGGTCTGCGACCTGTAGGAAGGGAGGCACCGCAGGGGCGACTCCGGCCCTGGCCCTGATTCCCCGTGGCCCTCCCCGACCTCCCGGGGCCGGGCGGATGGGGGCTGCCGACCGTCCTGGGCGCCTTCCTGCTCCTGCTGCTGCTGCTTCTGCTCCGGGGAGGCGGCGGCGGCGGCGGCTGGAGCGCGTTGCCGGTCCCGGCCGAGGGGCTGAGGGCGCGCTGGAGACTCCGCCGTGTGGGAAGCCTGCGCGGGGCCTGTGTGTGCTATCGAATTACTTATTCATAGAAAAAAGGGGGAGAGAAAAAAAAGAAGTCACATGTCCGGGTTATACGTATGCGAAGAGAAGCAGCAGAAGGAGGGAAAAATTAAGGCGAGCAGGAGCAGGAGGAGAAGCAGCGGCGGAAGCGGCGGCGGCGCAGGAGGAGGCGGCGGCGGCGCGGCCGGGGACAGACACCCACCTGTATGAGTGCGCTTGTGGATCTTGAGGTTTTCAGAGCGTGCAAAGACCTTGCCGCAGCCCGGGAAGGGGCAGGGGAAGGGCTTCTCGCCAGTGTGCACGCGGATGTGGTTGATGAGCTTGTATTTGGCCTTGAAGGGCTTGCCTTCGCGTGGACAGTCCTCCCAGAAGCAGACGTGGCTGCTTTGCTCCGGGCCGCCCACGTGCTCCACCGTGACGTGGTTCACCAGCTCGTGCATGGTGCCGAAAGTTTTGGAGCAGGGCTTGGCGCCGCCGGCCGGGGGCGGTGGCGGTGGCGGCCCGGCCAGCTCGTCGGGGTCGATCCACTTGCAGATGAGCTCCTGCTTGATTGGCTGCCGCATGTAGCGCAGGAAGGCCCCGGCTGCCCCTGGGAGGTGGGGGTGGTGCTGGTGCGGGTGCTGCGCGGGCGCTGGCGGCGGCGGCGGCGCCGGGGGCGGCGCGTGGTGCTGCAGGTGGGGCCCAGGCCCAGCTGCCGCTGCGGCCGCCGCKGCAGCCAGGTTCAGGTTTAAGTTCACGGCTCCATAGCCGTGCAGGGCGGCGGCCGCAGCGGCAGCCACCGCCCCGTAGTGCGCGTCCCCAGAGCGAGGAGCGAAGGGCGGCTCTGCTCGGCCATACAGCTCAGCCGCCGCGGCTGCTGCCGCCGCCGCCAGCCCCAGACGCATTTGGCCGTTGAGCGGGTGTGGGTGACCGCCGGGAGCCCCTGGAGTGTCGTGCAGCGCGGGGAAGAGCGCCGGGCCACCGCCGCTGTCCGGGCCCGCGTAGGTGCCGCTGGCAGAGATGAACATGCTGGCCGAGTGGGGAGGCGGGGCCGGGTGCTGGGGGGAGCTGGTGCCGGACCTCTGCTCCCCTCCGAGCGGGGCCCCGTGCATGGCCGCCGCGGGGGCCGTGGCGGAAAGGTCCCTCCGGAGGACGAAGTCCCTGCTGTGGCCTTTGCCGCTGCTGCCGCCGCCGCCACTGTTGGTGGTGGTGTAGCCCGAGAGGGCAGAAGGAGGAGGCGGGGGAGGGGAAGGAGGAGGGGGTGAAGGGGAGGGAGGAAGAGGAGGGGCTGGGGGCGGGGGCGCGGAGGACTGCGCGCCACTGCTGCCCCCGCCGCCGGGGTAGGTGCCGGAGCCTGGGTGCGCGACTACGGCCACAGGGCGGGCAGCAGCCGCTGGAGCCTCGGACTGCGCCGGGAGCACCTGGGAAGGAGGGCTGAGGCTCTGAGCGCTCGCCTGAGCCATGTGCTCGGGTCCAAGCGCAGTGACGGCCACGCCGGGGTCAGTACCCAGGTCCCGCGGGTGGAGGTGCGCGGTAGCAGCGCGGAGTTGGGAGTGGGCGGGCGGGCTGGCCAGCGCCGGGAAGCCTGTCATATTCTGATGCGGCTGGGCCTGAGCCGTTGCCAAATCCGCTAATCTCAGYTCTGGCGGGTTCCTCTTGCTCAAAGGGGGCTCCATCAGAACTACACAATCAGGCTCATAGACCCTCACTGGGGGGACCTTTTTCCCTCTGCCCGCCTTCAAAAACATGTATATATTAGGCGCTCTTTAACTTCTTTTGTCCTGGCCTCCTAACTCTGCTTATTCCTGTTCCCACTCTGTCCTCCAGCGATTGGCAGAGTGAGCACCACATTTGAGCTGCACAGTGGGACTGAGATTTTTGGAAATGGCACGGGTGGGATTGGAGGGAGCCGCGTGATTGGCAGCAGACTCGGCTGCCCGATTGGCTCSCGTTCAGACCCTAGGCCCAGCAGGGAACCGCCCCTGTGCTCGCGACCGCCTGCGCTTTCACTTCGCGCCCCCTCCTCCCCTGGAGCCCTCGGTCCCCGCCTCCCCAGGGATGCCCAAGTTGCACTTGCAGAAAGTTTGTGCTTGGCCTGCGCGCGCAGCGCTCTGCGCTCTGTTGACACGCCTATGGAGAGCGTGTGCTGTGCACGCAGTCAGAGTACACCGGGTGGTAAGGGACTGGGGACCCCCAAGGGGCAAAGGGCGGGGCGGGAATCCCTAACTTCAAAAACCTACGCCTCACTGCTCGCAGTTTACCCTTCCAGTATCCACTTTCTACTCCTACTTTGGAAGATGCCTGAGCTGCCCTCTGCAGGAGGGTGAACATCCYGTCTTCATACCTGTAGTGGTGATGCCAGAAACGTTTGGACACCCAATCTGCCCAGCTCTCACGTAGGGAGCAGACAGGAGACCGACCAAGGAAGGTTATTAAAGTCTATTGATTGCAAAACAACTGGAGTGATTTGGCTCCTCAAAACGCCAGGTGAAGTCAAAATAAATCTTTTCCCAAAGGAACGGTTTTATTTCTGCTTTTTAGCTCATGGAGTCCCTTTCAACATGGTTCAAAGGAGTTGGCTCAAAGTGTAATCTCACTACTCATCGGTTCTAGATCTGCCACTTCCAATTAGATCTACCGGAGGGGCGGGGCCGCGTGGATATCCGGCAGCAATGCTAACTTTTGCCTTTCGGAGATACAGTGACAGGGCAGGCCAAACCTCATCTCTCCTGAGCGAAGCAGTGCTAAGCAATGTCCTTTAAGCAGAATTTCTCTTTCTTGTCCAGAACGCACTTAACGTGTGTGCCTCATTTCTTTTAAAGGACCACAAATTCAAATAGATACAATAAAATTTATCTTAGTTATTTATTTACAATAAAATATAGTCTCACCTTATCATTTTCAAGTAAACTGAGATGTCTTATTTGAAAACCATAAAAGCTGGACCTCATTGCTGTTCTTAGTGAACACCATCCCTTCCCAGCAGTTTGCTACCAAATCAGTTTTTAAAAAACAACGTGAAGTCCCTATATCACTTGGGAGGGGGGGCAGAAAATTCCAAAGTAGGTTATAGTGTACCAAATTGTCACTTCAGGTTTTTAAAAGGAAACATTTTWAAAAATGTGTTAGTCCAAAATGTTCTAAAACTAATATCAGGATTAAAAATTTGCTTTCCTCCATAAAATTATTTGTTAGAGGTCATAATAAATAAAATGTGTTCCCCYTCCCCTTTGGGGATACAATAAAACATGTTCCTAGCTTAATTCGTTTACCGTTCAAGTAAAAGTAGACCACACAAAGCCATCCTCAGGAAATGGTCCTGGGAAGAAGTAAGGAATATTTTTCAAAAGAGTTGATTCCATAGCCCCATTGACATGGGTGTGAACAATGCTAAGTGAGAGCTTCCCCATAAGCCATGGGAATGTCATTTCTCTTATAAAACTGACAAGCAAACAAAGACAATAATACTATCAAATTTCAAATGAGCTTTTTTTTTTTTTTTAAAAGCTTCAGTGAAGTTCAGATATAGGGAAATTAAAAAGGCACGAGTGAAGCACAATGAAAATTTTAATAGGCAGGAGTGACAAAATCCACATCTGTATTTTAAGAGACCATGTCCTTCCATGATTTTGTTCCAAAATCTTAAAACATCTGAAGCCAATCACAGGAATGTGGATTGAGAACTGTGCCATCTCTATGGATGGTTTATAAAGAAAGCATCATATTGGGAATTATCACCACTTTCTTTCTTTCCTCTCAAAACATTTCAAGTGAATTTCCTTTATGTGAATTTCTTGGCAGTGAATGTCCATATTTGCAATAATGGCAGCTTTGAGTTCCATCCTGCAGGTTATAAGTAAAAACAAAACAAAACCAAGAAAAGGAATGAATAAAGAAAAAGAAAATAAATACAGCCTCGCCTATAATATGGACTGTTGAGCATTTTTATTGTGCAATAAAATGGGTACCTCCACCCCCCTCAAAATAGCTTTTCGTCAAAATTATAACTGCTTTGTTTTATTGAATTGCTGAAATTTAATGGTTTAATGGGTGGAGGCATGAAGGAAGGGCTGTAAAAATGTGAATGATGCTGCAGCAGAGCCGTGCGGAATCTGGAACCCGCCTCCTTGTACAGCTCTTGTTAAACACAGCGTGATATGTATCTGTCATCGATTTAATATGTCTTAATTCAAATATAGCTCCCTGATCAATTTCTTTTTATGGAAGCCTTAAAAAAGAAAAGAGTTTCTTAGGAAATAACAGAGATTTGGGTAGTGACTGGAAAAACGGATATTTACAAAGTGAGTTTAATGAATATTTGCAAATTTATGACCAAATCCAGACCCTAAAAAGATAATTGACTCAGGTAAATCGACTTGAGCTGCTAATTCTTAAGAGAAAGGACTGGGAGCAAAATTTCAATCAACACCAATAAGGCGCCAATAAACCTCCTGCCAATTAAAGCTGAGAATAGGCCTAGCTAGATGGTCATCAGGAAGGCTTGCAGTGGATTTCCGGGATTGCCTTTCTTTATAAAAAGAGCTTTTTTGTTATTTTGTTAGACGCGCTTTTTTGTTATTGTGATGACCTGCCTGACCCCAGGTGCGCTGTTTCTTTTTCAAGCTATTTGGGAGCCAAGTAAAATCTCTTTAAATTCCGAGTTTCTAAGGGCCCAATAACTGTGTCACTCTTCTTAAATAAACACCAACAACTTCCAGGGCGTTGAAGAAAATAATGTATTAATTTTAAAAGCAGGGGGCTATAGAGGCAGCTATGCCAGTTCTCCTTCCGTGGATTTAGCCCCATATTTCCACGGTGGTGCTGATCCTCAGGGCCAAATCCTCAAAACGTATGTCCTTGCAGCAGAGGTGCTTGTGTGGAGGCAGCAATGTGGCAAGTCATTGAAATGCCCTTTGGGGGCTTTTTAAGGCCGTTGGTTTCCAGACCTTTTGGTTGCACCCCGAACCCCAACCTCCTTCAGGTCCTGAACAAAGGCACGGAGAGTCTGAGGGGGTGAGAGGCACAGTAAGTGCCCSGCTGGCGGGAACCTGACCGCCAAGCCGCAGCTCAGCTGCCTATAGAGGCCACTGAACGGGTCTCTGGGGATGCTCACGGGGCGCTTACGGCTGGCTTCCCGCTGCGTGGAGTGAGGAACGCGGCTCCTAGGCTCCCTCACTGAACACTGCCAAGTTTCCTGCGATGGGTGTGGGTAATAATAAGCTCTAGGGAAGTGAATTGGACATTTCCTGGCTTTTGAGCCTTTGATTGTTTCTGCAGGCTAGGGAAGAGGGACACTTGGGGACTGTGGGGTGAACAAGAGAGGAGCTGGGGGACCCACCAAGCCTCCTTTTATTGCCCCTGCAATTGCTTTATGACTCGCTGATCCCGCGTGGTTTCTGAGAGAACGACCTCGTCGTAGAAGGGCTGGGTCCGGGCGGATTTGGAGAGTCTAGGGGCATTTGGGCCGCGTGGGAGGCGGGTTCAAGGGCGAATGAGACACCTCAAGTTAGTTACTGGAGAAATCGAAGGACCTTTGAAGCCTAGCCCAAGGATGCCCTTGGGTGCTTAGCGGACGGGGTGCCGCGGGTGGGGGATTAGCAAGCAGACCCTGGGAAGGTGGTGATGGTTCACTGGAAACTCCACAAGCCAGGGCCAGATGGGCAAAGGGGACGGCAAAGCTGCATTTTGTAGAGCTTTGTCAGGGCTGGAAGTGGGAATTTTCGATGCAAGGACATCGCCACCCATCTAGGCAGCAAGGTCCATGGGCCACCTCCCCAGGCCCTACCCGCAGTGGGTAGGGACTAGATCCTCTACCTTCCCACCCTCACCACTAGCGATCTGCCTTGGGTGGGGGGCTGCTGTGAGGGCCTTATTGCTCCTAACTGCCCCCCCCCCCCCATTCGCTGCCCTCTGAATGGCTCTAAGAGGATTGCCTCTCTTTTCTGTCCTCCTAAATTCCCGCAGAATTCTCAGGCTCCTATGTGCGGGGCTAAGAGTGTCCAAACATGTGCTTTGTGGTAAAGTTTATGATCCCTGTCACATGCGCATGAACACAATGAAAATAAGGTGGAAGTCACTGGCTGTGTGGCCAGTGACTGAGATGTTGAATTCCGTTGGGTTTTGTTTTGTTGTTAATTTCAGGTTTGATGGACCTTCTCATGTCCACTTAACCTTTATGGTTAAAAGCTGCAGAAACATTATCTCTCTACTTCCCCACTACTAAATATCCCTCTACTTCCCCACTATAAATTGTATAAAACTGACCTTTCCTCAAATGCTTTCATTTGGTTATCAAATTTTAAAAACTCACAGATAGTGGTTGTTGGAGAAAGATCTTTGACTTTGGCCTACATTTGACCCTCAGGTTTGGTAATTTCCTGGGAGACACTCCTGTGTTCTAAAATAAACTCAGAAAGTGAAAACAAGAAAAACAAAACAGAACCCTCCCTACATGTTCACAATTCATATAACCACTTAATAATCATACTGTCCCCAGGATTTGCTTCTCCCCCACTTCATCCCTCATCCTTTAGAATGTTTTTGGATGCAAGATTTAAAAAAAAAAAAAAAAAAAAGGAGCAAACAGAGGATATGTAGTTTTTTAAAAATCTCAGAGTTGTGGGGTGGTTACCCCCACTCAACACCCTTTCAGTATCTATGCTTCAATATTTGAAGAAGCTGTTAAGATAAATCAAATAGTGACACGTTGATGGATTTACTTGTGTAAGCAATATGGTTGACATATGGCATTGTTATTTATGAATGACAGCATAAATTGTATTACAAAGTCTATTGCAATAATACTGCAGTTTATTGGAAAGCTGCTCGCCTGTCATCTGTATTCAGCCTCCCTGGATGTGGTTCGCCTGGGAGCCCAAAGGATAACGGTCCTCAGGATAATTAAACATGTTCACATAAACTAATGCCTTCTGGTTTTTGTTTGTTTGTTTTTGTTTTATTTTGCAGCAGTGGAAAAATTCCCATCAGGAAAGAGGAGATGAAGTAGGAACAATTAGTTCCCTTCCTTTCACAAAACCACAGCCACTATCACCAGGGGTAAAGACAGGTGTGATGGATCCCTTCTATTTTTCCCAGAGTCCTTTTTTGACAAATATACAAGTACATACCCGTATCACTAAACTGCTGGTGAGTACATATTTTTATACATATTTTAAATAAGCCCAGTTAGAAAACCGAAATTTTAACTGTAGGTGGAAAAGAAGTTCTTTTAGCAGACTGGAGAGGGCCTTATGCTATGACACCTCCTCTCACCCCTGCCCTTTTAAAAATGTTATTTAAAAGTTACAATATTGGCTGAGATTTTTCACAATTTCCCCTTCTTTTACATTACACTTTTCTAAAGTTCTCACAAAGAACATTTGTTCTAGGTGGGTTTTGCAGAGGTAGCTTCCCTACCACACATGTAGTCCTTTCATGGGTCAGGGGTCACCCAGCCCAGGAGTGGCTGAGACAGATGAATCAAAGGTGACCTGCAACTTAATATCCTGTTGATGATCTTGTTGAATTTATGAGTCTGTGATATAAACGATGGTGCTAAAATCCTGAAAAATTCTCCTTTTTATCCAGGTTACGCAGTGTATTCCATACTTGTTTCTCTCATCTCTTCTCTCTGCTTCTCTCCCCCACCCCCTCTTTCCTTCAGAGGAAAATTAAAAGTTTCAATAATAAAGTGGCTTTCCAATTTAACAATTGGCTTTGTTTGTTTGTTTTTTAGCTTCTCCTCTGGAACAATGTATATGTGAGAGCGACAGAGTGTGCACTGTTTGTGTATATGTACACAAAATGCACATCATACTACAAAAGAATTTAAACAACATTGTTTCCAGAGGCCCAGAAACCAAAAGGAGGTTCTCAGTTGATAAGTGTCGGTGTGTGTGGTGGGATTTTCTAAGTTTTGAATATACCACACATTCCAGATCCTGCTGTGATTCCCTCTCTTTGCTAGGAAATGAACGCACCACCACACTCCCAAGGTTTTCCAGATCTTCACCAGCCCTAGGCTCAGGTTTTGCCTGGTTCAGGCTTCTTCAGGATTTCAGAAGGACAATTTTGGGAAACTCACAATGAGGGAACATGGAACTAGTTGTGGGTCCCTCCAGTCTGACAACGCTGCACAAGTGTCCTTCCAGAAACCTGTTGAGAAACTGAATTCATGCACACAGTTTATAAGAAAGCTTGACCGGGTTTTTTCCCCCCGCTTTTCCTTTCCCTTTCTTCTTCTTTTCTCCCCCCACCCCCTTCCTGCCAAGGAACAGGAGTCCACTTTTGAGGCGATAACTCTGAAAGCCTTTGCAGTTTTTTTTTTCCTTCTTGTTCTCTCTCGCTCTTCCCTCTACTTCCTTAAAAAAAAAAATACTGTCATTGAAGGAAAGGGGTTTTGCRGTTTGCAGAGAAATAAAGCATTTCTGAGAGGGGATGGAGACGTGACTTTGAACTTGGCTCAGCTCCTCTGTGTCCTGCAGAGAGAGGAGAACTGGAGCAGGGAAAGAATAGCCAGGAGGGCCCAGCCCGCGGGGTCTCCGGCGGGAATTAAGGCGTCTGCCCCACTGCCCGGCAGCGAGCAGCCCCCGGAACCTAGCGCAAGTAAGCGCCCAGCCGCGCTACCCCGAAACGCGGGCGCAGCAAAAGAGGAATCAAAGCGAAAAGAGAGAATGGGTCAAAGAGGAGAGGGAGGGAGGATTGGGGAGGGGTGAGAAAGTGGTAAAGGAAGAAAACTTGGAAGTCTGATGCCTTGAAAGAAGGAAAGGAAGTGAGTTCTTTGGATATGCAAGATTGCTTTCTCACAATCTCTAGAAAGGATTTTTTTTTTTTGTAATGTTTGGAATAAGCCATTCCAGGTACTCTCCCTTCATCTCCCCCATATAAATTCATCAATTTATACAGTAAACAAACGTGAAAGACTGCATTGGGCAATTTTAAAGGGCTCAACGTGGCAGGGCAGCCTTTCTGCCAGGAGAAATTCATTCTCTCCCTTTTTTCTTCCCCCCACCCCCTCCTCTCTCGGGGGCCAACTTGGCAATTGCCCTCTGCCCCTTTTAGAAAAGACCTAGGGAAAGACGAGTGCCTCCAGCTTCCAAACTCCTAAGCTTTAGCCATGTGTCCCAGTCCCCTTCCTTTTTGCCCCCCTCCCCCATGGCAGGGAAGAGGGGAGGACAGAAGGAGGGCACAGGGCCCTTTATGGAAGGGGCTACAGCCAGTTCCAACACAGAGAGAGACCCGCTTCTGCGGGCAGAGGCCGTCTGAGCCCGCACAAGAAAGCTCGGGTTATGCTAGCAATAGTGAGAAGATTCTTCCCGCGTTTTGGATGATTTCATTTTAAGATTAAAAATTGGAAGAGCATGGTGATTATTTTCTTGCTTGAATTTTTATTTCAACTCCCAGCGATTTGTAAATAAAAGCAGTTTTCCAGGCCAGCCAGGCAGAGAAAGGCGCTGGTCTTACACTGTCCCTTCACACCTCCACAGCCTGGGAATCCGCGGTTCCCTCTCTGGTTACCTCGAGAGCACGAGCTTCGGGCGTTGGGACAGAAAATGTCCTCAGCGACTCAGGGTGCAGCGTAGGCCTCAGGGCCAAGGGGGCTGGCCAGGGGCCGCACCGGGAGTAGCTTCGTGGCCAGCTCACGCCCGAGAAGGGGCACACTCTTCACTCCCAGAGAAGTGATATTTACCTTATGGAGGGGTTAAGTCTGGYGGTTTCCTCTCCCCAGGCCCTGAGCCTTACCCTCAGCCAAATTCTGGCCTAAGCCTTGCTTGGCTGCTAGCGTCCCCATCCTTCTCAATTCATAGTGGCAGCAGCCCCAGACTACTGGGCATCTACCCCTAGGGTGACACTGTCTTTAAACGACTTCCAGACAACCCCCTCCTACGTGGAGGGGGGGCACTGCCCAATGTTTATTGCTGTAATCCGAGCAGGAGGCGAGCGGCGGGGGAACTAAGCGCGCCCAGGGGCGGGTAGGGACCACCGCCCGGCGTGGGGGCGGTGTCTGGGTGAGAATCCAGAGAATCCAAGGAACCGGTAAGACTGTATGCCCACCGTCCTTCACCAGTTTTCAATACCATAAAGCAGGTTCACCAAGGGAGGGGAAGGAATAGGGAGCGTGCCAAATCGGCAAGAGATGGGCCCCCAGGCCGCTCCCTGCTCCGCGCTCCCGGCCGGGCTATCGGCCTGAAATGTCCCGGGGCGCAGGACCTCCGGAGTGACTACCCGGTTGCCAGCCACGTCTCGGGCGGCAGGAACCCGGGCCCGCAGTTCCTGGGATTTAAAGTTGCTGGGAGTGGCTCGGATCCCTGGGGAGTCGGTGGCCTGTGTGGGTACTGTCCCGCTTCTGGCCAGCGACTAGCTGAGGGCGACATAACCCCGCGGCCTGGGCCCTCGCAAAGCTGGTTGCGCGATTCCCAGGGGCGACGCTGCCGGCCAAGCCGAGGAGCCGTAGCACCGAGCGCGCCGGCGAAGCGCCTGAGGCTGGCAGGCACGGCCCGCGGGCACAGTCGGCGGATGCCTGAGCCGCTTGGAGCTCCTGGGGCGCGGGGGAGGCGGGGCTGGCCGGCCTAGGGGCGGGAGCGCCGGATTGACGAGGCCGAAGCGACCAATGGTGGCGTCAGGAGGGCGGGCGGGGCGGGAGCCGCCGTTAAAGGGGCGGTGTGACCGAGAGGCCGGCCCTGGAGCGGGAGATAGAGAACCCGGGGCGGGAGACTAAGGGGGACGCGGGGGAGGGGAAAGGAAAAGGAGGAGACAAAAAAAAAAAAAAGAAGAAGAAGAAGAAGAAGAAGAAATAAAAAATAAAAGGCTGCAGCTGCGGCCTTTTAAACAGGCGGTGGCGAATGCAGCCCCTTGCAGCCTAGAGGGGGAAGCCGCTTTGGCCTTCTCTCACTTGCTGGGACCTGGGACTCCCTTCTGTCCTTGCGGGTGCGGCCATCCGCTCCCGGTCCAGCACCCAGGGCCGACCTGCCTGAGGAAGGGGGCGAGCGAGAGATCACTTTTTTATTGTTGTTATTGTTTTTCCGCCCAGCCCCCCTTCTCCCCTCCCCCTCCCTGCCTACTCCCCTCCCACAGCCTCCTTCTCCCCCCACCCCGCCCGCCTCCTCCTCCGGCACAACTTAAAGAAAGAGGGAGCGGCGCGGTTGCTTCCTTCATCTGGGGGAATTCGTGGCCACTGCAAGTTTACTACTCGAAGCGCAGCCAATGCCAAGCGCGGAGGACCAGGAGGGCTGAACACCGCAGCCGCGGAGCGGAACAATACCCGCAGCGCGCGGGGCGGCGCGACCAGGGCCGCGGGGGAGGGAACGGCCGCCAGACCGTGCGGCGGACCCAGCGCCTGGCCTCCTCCTGTTGTCCCGGAGCCCCAGCCGCGGTCAGGTGGAGCCACGGGTACATTGAGCTCGAGCGCCGGACGCTGAGAGCGAAGCTAGCCTCCGTCCTTTTCTTGCTCGCCTGACGGGCCTGAGGACAGTCGCCGCCCTCGGGCATCCATCCTGGCCCTGCAGCTGCAGTGATTTCATTCTGTGGGCGCAGCTAGGCGCAGCCGGGCCCGGGGTCTGCGGGGCGAGCGAGCGAGTGAGTGTGTTCGTGCGCGCGCGGGTGCGCGCAGGGGTGGGGGCCGCGGAGCTGCGCTCGCCCCCCGGTGGCCCCCCTCTCCGCTCTGCTCCCCACACCTCCCTCTCGCTCCCTCCTCCCGCCCGCCCTCCCTTGCCCTGCCCGCCCGCCCCCGCCGCAGCTCCTTTAATACACTTTGGTTCTCCGCCTGGCTTTGGACTCTTCTCCTCCTCCACCTCCTCCTCCTCCCGCGCCTCCTCCGCCGCCGCCTCCTCCTCTTCCTCTCCGCGCCTTCGCTCTGTGCCCGGCCGCCGGAGGCAGATCCAGGCGGTGGCGGAGGCGGCAGTCACAGGATCGCGGCTGCCCGGGCTGAAGCCGCCTCTACCACCGCCGCCTGCTCCCGGAGCCCAGCGGCCACTGGACGCACCGCGCGAATTGGGAGTGGGAGCCGAGGCGGCGCGAAAGCGCAAGGCTCGCCGGGGCCGACAGGGCGGGCGGGCGCACTGGCCATGCTTCTGGACGCGGGGCCGCAGTTCCCGGCCATCGGGGTGGGCAGCTTTGCGCGCCACCATCACCATTCSGCAGCCGCGGCAGCCGCGGCGGCCGCGGAGATGCAAGACCGTGAACTGAGCCTGGCTGCAGCGCAGAATGGCTTCGTAGACTCGGCCGCTGCGCACATGGGAGCCTTTAAGCTCAACCCGGGCGCACACGAGCTGTCCCCTGGCCAGAGCTCGGCGTTCACGTCGCAGGGCCCCGGCGCCTACCCCGGCTCCGCGGCGGCCGCCGCCGCAGCCGCCGCGCTCGGGCCCCACGCTGCGCATGTTGGCTCTTACTCCGGGCCGCCCTTCAACTCCACTCGGGACTTCCTGTTCCGCAGCCGCGGCTTCGGGGACTCGGCGCCGGGCGGAGGGCAGCATGGGCTATTCGGGCCGGGTGCGGGTGGCCTTCATCACGCGCACTCGGACGCGCAGGGCCACCTCCTCTTCCCTGGCCTCCCGGAGCAGCATGGGCCGCACAGCTCGCAGAATGTGCTCAATGGGCAGATGCGCCTCGGGCTGCCTGGAGAAGTGTTCGGGCGCTCGGAGCAATATCGCCAGGTGGCCAGCCCGCGGACCGACCCGTACTCGGCGGCGCAGCTCCACAATCAGTACGGCCCCATGAATATGAACATGGGTATGAACATGGCAGCGGCCGCGGCCCACCACCACCACCACCACCACCACCCCGGTGCCTTTTTCCGCTACATGCGGCAGCAGTGCATCAAGCAGGAGCTCATCTGCAAGTGGATCGACCCCGAACAGCTCAGCAACCCCAAGAAGAGCTGCAACAAAACTTTCAGCACCATGCACGAGCTGGTGACCCACGTCTCTGTGGAGCATGTCGGAGGCCCGGAACAGAGCAACCATGTCTGCTTCTGGGAGGAGTGTCCTCGCGAAGGCAAGCCCTTCAAGGCCAAATACAAACTGGTCAACCACATCCGCGTGCATACAGGCGAGAAACCCTTTCCCTGCCCCTTCCCGGGCTGCGGCAAGGTCTTCGCGCGCTCCGAGAACCTCAAGATCCACAAAAGGACCCACACAGGTAACCGCAGGCAAGGACCGGGACGAAGTGCGGAAGGGAGACTTGGGGAGAAATGCACAAGCTGAAGTGTGTGTGTGTGTGTGTGTGTGTGTGTGTGTGTATACGCGCTCGAGCGCGCGGTCGGAGGGCGCCAACCGCTAGCCCGGGCCCTGGGACGGGAGATGTTTTTTTGTGTGTGAAAGAGCGAGCGGTTTGTTTTTGTTGGATGATGAAAGACTATTATTGGCCTGGGTTTTTCCATGTGCGGAAATTGAATTTTAAATGACCAGTATAATATCAAATGTACGTGTAGGGTGATGCAACTGCTTCGTTTGCTCAGCCCTGGTTAATAATTTGCGTTCTAAATAGAACGCACAAAATAAAACTGCTCTGTAACTCGGTGCCCGGGAAGCGAGCCTAGAGAGGATTTTGCCAGCTTGTCTGAATGTGCTTTTCTGCTCCGGGTGCGTGTCTGTGTTTGAGTGGCTTGTGTATTTTCCCACGTCTTTTACTCGTGGTCCAAACGCCCTTCCCGGGACTGTTTCCCATTAAATAAGCCTGGTGTGAGCCGGAGCTGTAAAGCATTTCTCATTTTTAAAGTTTTTTTTTTTTTTTTTTTTTTTAAGCCCATCTCGGGGTGGGTCGCGGGGGCTTTACGGTGGTTTTGCAGCAGTTTGTGAAAATCTCTAATGGGCACCACAGGGTTTGCGATTCCAAACTTGGACCCACAATCGGTCAGCGAGAGCCCCAGGCAGCGCGTCCCCACGGGGGATCGCGTGAGAAGAGAGAGCCGCAAAAGAGCGCGCCTCCCGCCTCATAGATTATTCATCTATGACCAGGTCTCAGTCAAAATCGTGCCAGACGATTTCCTAAAAGAAAGCCAAATGTTTTAGCAACTTCCCTCGTCAATATTTACTCCGAAGTGGGGATGCGCCAGAGGCCTATTGTTCTCTTTTGGGAAGGGAGGGAGCCGAGGTGCGAGACAAGCTTTTAACAAGGTTTAAAATTTGAGAAATTTATTTGCATGAAAAGCTAGCTTTCGAGTCCTGTCTCTGAGCGGATGTCTTTAAAAAACAATTTAGGTGCTAATGGAATTTAACGTTAAACGATCCCCTTTCCAAGTGGAACGACGTTTGAGTTCTCACACCTCTAAATGACTCCAAGCATTTGGAATTCTGGCAACAGGATGCTGGGACCACCAGAAAATTAAACGGGGAGATTTTGAAAGGTTTTCCTGACTCTGTTCCCCACCCCACCCCCCAGCTTAGCCCCTCGGCAATCATTATAAGACTACCTTATCACTACTATTAACCCCCCCCCTTTTTCAAACTTATTTTTAAAAGACTGGTGAAACTAGAATTACAGTTAATTCAATATGCAGAATTTTGGATGAAAAATACTGGCTCAGTTAATATCCACAGCCCGTCCCCCAAACAACACATAGCTTCTCCAAATGTAATTGCCTACTGGCTGCAGAGAGAAACCGACAGCAGCCCAGCAGCCTGTGTGATTTTGATAATGCCCCAAATATTTTGTCATAATAACAGCTTCTCCATGGCGAGACCAACTTGTTAGAAGCTGCGCATCCAAGAAGTCCTATAGAAAAGCGGGCAGGGCCAGGATTGACCCCAAACTTGTTAGAAATTTGAGGAGATGGGCTTCAGTGTAGGAGAAAGTAAAAGAGGAAATAAGTGATCAGGACTGTCAGGTGGAAAAGGGGTTAATTTCATCTTGGTCTGCCACAGAGGGGATCCGACCTGTTTAAGGAATTCAGCCCTTCTACCCCCAAGTCGTCGCCTTGCCTGCCCCCTAACCACCTGGTGTTCCGGGACTCTGTGTGTCTCAACCAGCGACCCTGTTTGCCGCCCACAGGGGAGAAGCCTTTCCAGTGTGAGTTTGAGGGCTGCGACCGGCGCTTTGCCAACAGTAGCGACCGGAAGAAGCACATGCACGTCCACACCTCCGATAAGCCCTATCTCTGCAAGATGTGTGACAAGTCCTACACGCACCCCAGTTCCCTGCGGAAGCACATGAAGGTACCCCCGCGGTAGCAGGGAGGAGGGCGAGGCCGGCCTGCCGGGCCGGCTCGGAGGGGCCTGGGAAACCGCAGCGCGCCCGGGAAGGCCCCCAGGGAGCCGGGTGGAGAGGGACACTGGTGGGGTGCTCCCCCTCGGGGGCCCCGGCCTCACAGCAGCTGCACTCACATCCAGTCCCCTCTGGTCCCCCCTCCCGGCTTTTGTCTTGCAGGTCCATGAGTCCTCCCCTCAGGGCTCCGAGTCCTCCCCGGCCGCCAGCTCGGGCTACGAGTCCTCCACGCCCCCGGGGCTGGTGTCCCCCAGCTCCGAGCCGCAGAGCAGCTCCAATCTGTCTCCCGCGGCGGCGGCGGCGGCGGCGGCGGCGGCAGCGGCGGCGGCGGCGGCGGTGTCCGCCGTGCACCGGAGCGGAGGCTCGGGCAGCGGCGGCTCGGGAGGCGGCTCCGGCGGCGGCAGCGGTGGGGGCGGCGGCGGGGCGGGCGGCGGGGGCGGCGGCAGCTCTGGTGGGGGCAGTGCGACGGCCGGGGGCCACAGCGGCCTCTCCTCCAACTTCAATGAATGGTACGTGTGAGGGCCGGGGCCTCCCTTCCTCCCCCTGTTCCCCGCGCCGCTGCCCTCCCCGCAGCGAGAGGCCAGGGCGCCTTGGGATCTCGTATTGTTAAAATTATAAATCTGATTTTTATGATGATGAAAACGATTTTACCAGCAGAAGGATTTTTTTAAAAGTTTTTTTTTTTTTTTTTAAGAAAAAAAAATTAGGCATGAAAAGCAAGGAAAAAAAAAAACACCCTTCCGGAGTCTCTGAAGCTGAAAACATAAAATAAGAAATAAAAAATTAAAAATAAAAACCCACAAAAATATTGAATCAAACCTCCCTGCCATCACCCCTCATGCCCCCTTTCCTTCCCACCCTGTTCTTCAGACAAACTGTACATAGCAGACTCTTTCCTTTCCTTCTCTGAGTGATTTTAACGGCTTCTTGGTGTATAGAAGTTTTGTCCATTTGTAAACTCTGGGTTGCGTTCCTTCCTGCCTTCCTTTCCTTCCCCAAGTGATGGGCTTTTTCTTTTCTCTTTAGTTTACCTGGTTTCTTTTTTAAGTAATGTGGAAGAAAATGGTTTATTTTGTATTGTGGTATTGAATATTGTGTTCCTTTTTATGAGGCAACTTGATTGTAAACTTCATGCAACTATAGACTGGAGGAAAAAAAATTGAGCCGTGCCAAAGTCTCCCTTCTGTTTCTTCGACACACCGACCCATAGCACACACACCACCACCAACAACAACGCTTGTGAATGTATTTTTCTGTTAGTTGGGTTTACATGTGATGTTTTAGTGCTTTTGCAAGTTCAATTTGTTAGTTCCTGTATGAAAGATTGTGGGGGGAAAATAAACGTTGTGCCGTTAGCTTTTTCCGTAATAACACCCTCCCTTCTGTAAATACCCGTTACCATATTTATCCATTTGTAATTAAATTATGGTATTAACTTGCTACAGAGGAAACAATATTTATAAAGAATGTTTCTTAACTATAAATATGTACAATTGTGGGCATAAACTGTTTCAGATTTTTTATTTGAAGGTTTTAAGTGGTTTGATCATTTCTTGTGATATGTTTTGAGAGTAATGCATACAGAAATATAATAAAATGTGTTGAAACTGCATGAACATACTGTTTTTTTTTTTTCCTAATGAGAAGGAAGCAGCTTGAGGGTTGACATGGGTCTGGATCAGGGTACCAGGTGTTGGGAAGCACCATCCTGCATTCTGGAGAGGAAGGTGTATGTATGCAGAGGAAGGAGGCCAAACTGCCCCTTTGGCAGAAAGTCTCAAAATTATTTTCTACATCCTTTGTTTAGTAGCTGAGAGTGAATTAAATTTTTGGAAATCCCCTGTGAGGAATGGCGGCAGGAACCTTCAGAGTTTCTAATGGCTCCATTATCTGAGGGAATGCCTTTCTTTCTTTCAGCTATTTGGACTGGATTTAAGAGCACTAAACATTTCCTTATTCTTTGTTTTCCCCCTTCCCTGCCCCCTTCCTCTCCCTCCCTCTGAAAAGCTGAGGTACAGTTATTTTTAATTGCACGTTTAAAACTGAGCTGAGTACTTTGTTTTTGAACTTGGCCCAATGATTATAGTTTAAAAGGGCCTGTTTCTTCCAGAAGTTTTTTTTTTTTTTTCATGAAATTTTAAGCAGAGAGCTTGCTCAAGAAATCCTACTTATCTTAAGCAAAGCTGCTCTGCACCAATAATCAGGATGTTCAAGAGAAAGTGATGGACTACATTTTAATTTTCTTTTGAGAGAATAGAGAAGCAACAAACCGTTGGCTCCAAACGAAAGAACCTTTGCAAAGAATTGACAAATAAAGTGCAAAGGCTAAAATTGCCAGGTGGAAATGAGCTGAAGCACCTTACTGAAAGGTTTTGCAGCCTCATTCGCCCCTCCCCCCCACGGGAATCGATGAGTTTCCAAACACGCTGCTCTAAGGAAGAAAGGAAAAATAATTTTAATAACCAAAGGGATGAATGGGGGAAATTATTTTTAAGCCCCTGGACTATCAAGACATCTCCATCTTCCTCTCCCTGGGTGTCCTGCAGCTCGGAGAAGCCCCCCAGAAGCCACGGAGCTATCTCCCCAGCAGTAAAAAGCCTCGGGGGCGGCACGGACAGCGACACCTCCGTGGGATCGCCCAGCGCGGCGCTGGACGGCGCCAGCGGAGGCTGAGAGCGCTGGGGACTGCGGTGGCAACCGCTGCTTTCTCCTCCTCCGGCCTTTGGCTGAGYCGCGGGGCCAGGCAGTGCAGGCCCAAAGGGCCTTAGTGGAGAGGAGGACAATGCTGACCTCCCTGAGGCCATGCTACCTGTTATATGCGGAGGAAAGGATTTCAGTTTGGGTTATGCGTGCGGGTAAGACTCAGGGTGACAAATGCCAGACTTTCCCTCCCCAGCGGCCCTGGGAACTGCCTAAGCGCCAATTCCTGAAGCAATCAACCCTCTATTAAAAACAAATTTATAACCCCTAATAATATTAAGCAAAATTATTAAAATAATTGGCATGTGTTACTGAACCTTGGGAGAGTTCATTGAGCACATTATAAGCTGTGAGGAAAATCGTTTAGGGTTTTCCAAAGCCCCTCACTCCCGGGGGTGGGCGGGGGGGGGGGAGGAGAAGGATCAAATTAAATATTCATCATAATTTGGGCAAGAATGAAACTGCCTATGGCACGGCTTTAACTTTTTGATTTTGGGAAAGGAAGTTGTTGGTTTTGAGACACCTCCCAAATCTAAGAAGGATGAAATGGGGTGTGTGGGCAACTTTCACATCAGCTCAAGCCTTAGGGGTTTTCTCTCATTGGGGGGAAGAAGCAAGAGGAGAATGATCTCACAGCATTGAGGTGGTTCAATCACTCTTCAGATCGGAATGTTGGAGAGTTACCGGAGGTCCTTCGAGGTTGGGGGCGCTGATCTTAGTTTTCAGCAGGAAAATAAAACGACAAGGGACAAGGCAAAGAGGAACCAGCCTGGAAGTGGTTTCCTAGTCCTAGATGTACGGAGCTCGTGGGAGCAGCTTTCCTGCAAAATGGCTCCCTGTTCCTCCCTCGGCTTTGTCCAAACGAGTCTCCAACCCCGGGAGGTGGCCCCGTCTCCCTCTCTTGCCCTCCTCTTCGGCCTTGGAGTCTCAGGGACTGGGCGAAGGGAGAGGGAGATGGCAAAAGTGTTAAAAGTATTAAAGATGTCATCCTAGCTCCACTCAGAAGGCGTGCGGGGGGCTTGCGGCCCAAGAGCCAGGCAGCAATCTGTCGCCCAGGCCTGGGGGTCCGGCAGGGGTGCGCGAGTTCCCCCGTCCTCACCCCGCCCCCACGTCTAAGCCGAAGGCTAACCTGCCTTTGCCGTGACTCCGGAGTCACAAAACTGAAGCCCATCCTCGCCTCCCTCAGGGACCCAGAGCTGCGCTGGGAGGTCGGACTGCGGCGGCTGGAGGACGCTTTCGGTCCGCCACCGCCGTCAACTTGAACTTCAGGGCGCCCAGGCTCGCTCCATTAGCGCTCCGCTCCATCCACCACCGAATAACTCCCCTCGAAGCGAGAGTCGCTTTATCCGGAGGCAGCTGGAACCCCCTCGGGAGGCCCATCATTATTATTATTAATTATCGTGATCCTCACTGCATTATTAATGACCACAATGATAACTGGCATCGGTATCAGCTTCTCCCAGTTCAGTGATGTCCTCCCAAGTCCCTGGCGGGGAGGAGGTGACTACCACAGCGGAGGCCGCGTGGGTTCTGCTCTGGCGGTGGGCAAGGGGAAGCTGCTGGGGCTAAGCCYTGGCGGAGCGCAAATAAAGGAAACACGTACTAGGCCCTGTACACCCATCCAGCCCTGCCTCGGCCCTTTCCTCTCTGCCCGCACCTTCTTCGCCCTTCCACTACCCCATCCCCCAACCCCTTTGTCTCTTTTTCAGACGGATGTTTTCAGTCTGAAGTGGTTCTATCTTCCGCACAAAACCCTGAGATCAAGGGCAGATCACAGGCTGGACCGGAGGCTTGGATTTCCCTGTACCCTGCTATTTGTTCTCCCTCATCTCAGGGTTGGTTAGGATAGCCTGACCCCTCAAAATGAGGACTCGCTTGCCTAGGTCGGCAGGAGAGGGGGAGGTGTGTCCCGGTTGGTGAGCTCATTGGTAGCACAGGGGACTCATCCAGCACCCACCGGGAACTCAGGTCCTTTCCTTTCCTACATCACCTCCCACCCCCAAATCCAAGGGGCGGGCTAGGCCTACTTCCAGGGACTGATAAATAAACGCCTCAAAATAACACCCCATCAAGACTGGGTTGAAGTTTTGGATGTGTTATTTATTTATTTATTATACTTAAATAGACATGTGCCTCGGAAAGCAAACTTTGGAATCCGAAGTAGGGATTCAATAAATACTTGTGAATTGATGGATTATAGTCTGATATAAAACTTGGATATAAACAAAAACTTGGAGCCCTCAGCCCACAGCTATCCCCAGCAGATCTCAATGAACAGTTTCTATTTTTAATTGGCAGCTCAGAACCTGGCCCAGAGAAATGTCATTTTTCCTTGCCCTCCCCACACCCACCCCAGCTCCCAGCTGATTGTTACTGGGTTTTTATTTTAGGAAAAAAACAAAAAACAAAAACAAAAAAACAAAAAATCTCTCTTTCCAAACTGGATCAAGAGGTAGAACATTAAACCCTTAGGCCAGTCTTGCTGGACTCCTCTGAACGAAAAGGCAGATGTAGTGGTTTGAACCACCGGGAGTTACAAATAAGAACTTGTGTAAACCATAACTAGGACAGCCCCAGGGTCCGAGTTCAAGGTCAAGGATGTGGGATGACTGAGGCCAGAGCATCCAGGCCCTGCCCTGCCCCTGAATCGCCAAGGCCCAGACCTCTGCCCGGGATCTTCGGGCCGGGGTCCTCCCACTGCTGCTCCGCCCCTTCAAAACGCAGTCCGGGAATCTTAGGTGCTTTGGCTACCTCGTCACCCTCCACGGTTTTTTTGTTTGTTTCCAGGGGCCCACAAGCATTTGAAGAGGTGACATCTGGTTTCTTCTTCTCCTGCTCTGTGCCCTGCCCTCTTCCAGTATCCCTCCTGCCTGGTCCAGTGTGTGGTCAAGCGGGGGCTGGGTCCAGCTCAGCCGCCAGGCAGGGACTGGGGGAGCCCCAGCACTTGCGTGATCGCGGACACACACACACACACACACACACACACACACACACACACACACCATGCACTCACACATGATCACCTCCTGTGGCTTCCCAAACTCTCAGCCCCCGGCTGGTATGGATGAGAAGGGACTGAGGCCAAAGGGGTGACGGAAGGATCCAGCAACTGAAGCCCCCTTCACCTTGCGCTCATTCCCCTCTCTCTCAGCCCTTTAGGTTCAGGATCCAAACGGGCCGGGCCTACCCTGCACTCTCACCCCGTGGCGCTCGAGAGGCCGCGCCTGAGCCTCCAGTGTGGGAATGTGATGGGGCAGGGGGCGGGTATGCCTAAACTTGGGGTCCCCCAAGCCCAMTCCCAGGAGGTGACGGACCTACCTGAGCTCCCTCCGTCCCTTGGTGCGTGAGTATGAAATAGCTAATTCTGGAAGGAAGAGCTCACTACTCTCCCATTCACACACCTCCTGGACTCTGCCCCAACCTCCTAAGCCCTCCCCCAGCCCCAGCCAGGTTTTCTCAGTCCCCAGGCTGAGTCGGTGGCCCTGGGGAGCAGACGCAGCGGAGAGCCGCTAGGGAACGTGGGGGGTAGAAATAATAATAATGTTAATAATGTCAAAGGTAATCATCGCAGTTAATGCTCCGAGACTGGGTTGCTGCTCCGAGGTTGGTGGAGGCCTGGGGAGGCTCTTGACTGGGTAGAACTGGGAGTGGGCGTGGGGTTCCTTTTTCGGGAGAACTCTGGCTTCCCTCAGCCAAAAAACCAAAACCTCTGGTCTGGAATCAGGCCGAGCCAGCAAGGGCCTGCCAGCAGCCAGGCTGGAGACTTGCTGAAGACAGCCCCGGGATTTTTTTTTTTTTTTTTTTTCATTTTTCTTCTTCCTTTCTTTCTCTTGGGCCCATAGCGGTTAATGTGGCCGAATGTGGTTTCCCAAAACTCTTTGGAGTCAGTTGGTACTGCTTGCCCGCTGCCCCCACTCCCT